TTTGCTGTTACTGTTATATTTACTCAGAAGTCCCCATTGCTTATTTTAAGAGACCAGTAGAAATGAGCAAAAGTGAATTTCGGCTCCCTCCATTTCAGGCACAATTCTGTATCTCCATGAAGAAGGATCATCTCTTGCCAAATAGAGGGAATTGCCATTCATTTTTCCCTTAGTATTTTTTTTATATTACTTCCAGGGAATATAAGATTTAAGAAATTTGATTACACTTAGTTAATTTTGTACTTACCCAGTGATTTCATTTTAAAATGCATCCCTATAATTGATGGTTTGGGAACCAACTTTGAACCTTGGTGGATATGACCTCAGGGAAGAGCCAATCTCTATTGAAGGGGAGTTGGTGGCTTTATTTCAAGGATAGTAACAAGCATATTCAGAGGTTGGATTTTATTCTGGCGACCTGGTGGTGCCCTTTTTCCACATGAGAGCTCATCTCCAGATGGACCTCCTCACTTTAGAAGCATTTTTCATCATTCCTTGTGTCTAATTTAGTCAGAGTCTGACCTACAGTTCCTAAAACTATAAAATCTCAAGCTCATAATCTTAGTGAACACTCACTCACGTTCTCCCACCAAATTAATCTGATTTCACATTTATAATTTCATCTTTCCTTTATTATTATCACTGGGATCCAGTCATCCAAACAATAAAAAGGACCATTGGAAAGGAGACTGTGGCACAAAGGTAGTTCAAAGTTAGTTTCATTTGGTCAGAGGTCTTTCAAAGTCTGCCCAGCTGCACCTAGATAGGGATCTACCATAGACTCCAATGAGACAAGCTTCTCAACTGTCTCTATAGATCTGAATCCAAGATGATGGAGGTGGAGCCTCCATCTATTGCCAGGATTATCAAACTTGATCAAAGTTGAGAATATTGCTCTGTTGAGAATATTGTTCTAGACTTTAAAGATTCTTTGAACTGTGTTTTCTCAATCCTGAGTAAAAAAAGCTGGGCATTCACTGAGGTCATGAATTCAGTACTGAACTACACATGTGGGCTTCCTTGAGGGAAGGATGCATGAAAGAGTACCAAAGGAGTAGGAATGCAAAGGAGTACATGGTCACACCGAGTCCCTGCTTAGCCTTCAAAGTTGACATCCCTATAATCCAAGGAGTTAGTTTCTAGTATTCCATGTCTCATATCTTATGTATAGGTAATCTCACCCTCCTCTAGCTTGGGAGTTCCAACCCCAGCTAATGGGGTCAGGAAGCAGTGTTAGTAGCATCCACCTTTTGTCTGTCTCTCCCTTTTTTTTTTCTAGACTTGCTTCACTCTGCAAGGCCCTCTAGAATGCCCATAACCTTCCACTGTGCAGAGAACACACCTGATGCTTCCATCTTCCTCACTCCCCTCTTTTTTTCTGGCTATTCTTGCTTGCTTTCTTGGTAGATCTTCCACCTTTCCTGTACATGGTGTACAAGTTCCTTTTGTTTGTACATGGCTGACTTCTGGATCATTTCCACTTGTCCAGTACTACTTCCTTCCTGGCTTGAAGTTAGCTAGCAAAACTTTGAGTTCACCCCTCGGATATGCTTGAGTAAACTGCTTAACCTCTCAGAATCTTGGTTTGTTCACATGTAGAAGGAACTGTTGAGTTGATGAATATGTTTAAACTATACTCACTATGTGACCAAGGAGACAATGCGGTATGCAAGAGCCACTGCTGCACACATGTAGGAAGCCCAGTCCATATCCCCAGAATCCGTGTGAAAGGCTGGGTGTGGCCATGCTACCTGTTACAGAGTGCAGTGTGGGGCAGCGGCAGGAGCATCCCTGGCGCTTGCTGGCTACCAGCTTGTCTCCAGGTTCCTTGTGCAAGGATCTAAGGTGGGAAGTGACAAAGTAGGACCTGTACCACCTTCCTCTGGGTGTCTTGCCCATGTTGGCATGTGTGCTCACACACATTTCTGTGCATACTCTGCAAACATATACTCCACTTTACATGCACACACACACACACACACACACACACACACACAATCAGTGACTTTGGAAATCTAGATTTTTTTAAATATCTAGACTGGAAAATCTAGTTAGGACATATGATTGGCACAATATCTCAAAATGATCAAGATTAGTGGGTCCAAGATAAATGGCATTGGCATTGGTAATTTTCTTTGTTATGTTCTTAGTAGCTGCAGTTTTTTTAAAAGTATATCCCATCATGCCCCAGGGATATTTATAGACCAAACTTCTTAGCTAATCTGGCTTTCATGATTTCACTTTATGTGCTGGGCTTGTACAAGTGGCTATTGTACACCAGCCAAGATGATTCACTTTTTATCACAAGATGGAAAAGTTCTTTTAATGTGATTCTATCTTGAGGGATCTGTTTTCTGCTACCAGTTAAATACCAATGACACAGGAGGTGGCATGGATGCACTGAAGATTCTGAGATGAGTAGTTCAAGACTGTTTAAAAGTCTGAAAAAGACAAGTGGATCATTTCACAATAAACTTACCTCACTCTTTTTTTCTATTTGCCTCTAACCCATAACCTCAAATACAGATGTGAAGAGGGATAGAAGTTGTTCAAGACCCAGAGGAATGCCGAATTTTCCTCATTCTTTCTGCTATTGGCATTTGTCACCTTTTCTAACTGTTATATGTGTTTTATAGCTGAGAGTTGGGGGTAAGAAAGAGGGGCATTTGGAATGTCATACCCAGGGACATATTGCTGTCAAACATATTATTGAAGCTGGGAAAAATGAAATTGAAACAAAGAACACCTGCTACTTTAACTCATTTTAAAAAAACATAATGTTCTTTACTTGCTGACTGGAAATATTGTGTTTTCAGAGAAGAGGAAGTGCTAATCTAGACGGTAGAAAATGTAATGATTCACTATGCAATGATACGAAGTAAGAATGCTTTAAATTGAATATTTCAGTTTGTGGAGAGGTAGGCGCTTTGTATGAAAAACAGTTTTTCTCATCAGGTGGTGAGTATTACTCTCAAATTGCAGGAAAGAGTAAAATCGGCTTGTCACTGAAGATTTTTTTATTGACATCTTTAGCTTGTCTTCATGCTAGTAATTAAATTGCTAATTATGTGTTTCTGTTGCAGTGGTCATGCTTTTATTACATAATTGCTTCAAGTTTAGCACAAATCACCAATAATATTTATTTAACCTTTTTGTTCATTAGGTAAATTTTAATATATAAAAGCTATGGAATGACTTCATTGACTCTGTTTTGATTAGCAAATCAAAGGAATTCTAACCTTTCTTATAGTTACATGGATTGTTGGTCATGTTTTCAATGAGATTTCTGATAATTATTAATTTGAGCAATAGCAAGCATTTAAAATAAAAGGAGAAAATAAAGAGGAAACATTTCCAAAAAATGTGGTCTGTTCTAGAAAGGTAAAATGATCTTTCCTGAGGTCATTGGAAATATGAAATTAATAATTTGATCATTAATATATATGTTTGTACTTGATTAAGTTTGGCTAATTTAGTTACCAAGCCTCCCTCTCCTCTTGGAACATAGGCACAATTTTGTCAGTGTTTCAATATATTCATGATTTTTTTCTTATTTGTTTATTTTACACAAACCATAAGAGACATTTTTTCTCAGTGAAGATTGCCTCTTTATTTTATTTTGAAATATTTGTATATTTATTTCATTAAATGAGATAATGCTTTTTCTTATTAACATAATTTCCAGTACATTAAACATATTTCTCCACAGACAGAAGAGAGGAATCAAATTAAATGACAACTAAATCACTTGCAGCAATTTCAACTGTTAGAAGAAATAAGTGTCTCTGTTTTCTTTGTGATCACAAGATGTGCTGTAAAGGGAAATGAAATCCTAAAGAAAGAAGGGAAAACATAAAGAAATAATGACTGACTTATTGCAGCAATACCACTGAGAGAAGAAAAATTCACTACAAATAAAAGGAAAATAATATAGTGGATTTGAAAGTTACCAAAATTCATTTCTTATTGATGAGTTCAGTGGAAGCTTAATGCTAAGTAAACTGATGAAAAAAATCAATGCAATAAACTATGAATGATGAAAGTTGAAATAAATACTTTGCGTATGGAGGGCCATTATTCTAAATGTCTAATTTTTTAATAATTCATGCCTTTCTGTTTATAAAAAAAGAGGAATTATTGCTTGGTGGACTCAAAATGCATGTAAAAAGCTTTTGCTAGAATCCCACACTTAGTAATAAGCACAAATGATATCAGTGACCTTCTGATTTTAGTCTCACATCTGGCTTTCATGTGGGTGTGTCAGGGCAAGGTGAGCTTGGATATGTGCTGGTGTAGTTTATTTGGCATTTAGACTTTATTGAGCACACTGTATTGTATTCTAAAAAGACATTTTTTTTTTGGATTCTAGAAAGAGGAAAACCCAGAGCATATGTTACATGTGTGAATGTATGTATTTATGCATGAATGTATGTCAGTGTTCTGGAGGACAGTGGTGCTTTCCTAGGGAAATCAACACTGATACATACATGCATACTGTGTGTTTGGGGTGGTGTATGTATGTTAATTTTCATATTTCTCTAAATAGTCATTGTGTTCAAATCAGAGCATCCAGACTACCTGGATCTGAATATTTACAGGTTAGCAAATCATTTATTTTCTCTTTGACATGTCTTAAAAATATAAAACTGATTAAGCTCATAACTTAACCAGATGCTGGGGAGTCTGTAAAGAACTTATCCAACCACTTTTCCTGAATTACTGCGAATGAATCAGCCATCTACCATGCCGACACTGCAGACCTCCCTCTCAAGCGCTGGAGTCTCCCTGTCTCCTCTCCAGTGTGCTGCACCCCAGGCCTCCTCCCTGCTTTCTTTGTTCTGATTTTCTACCAGACACTTCCTAGACAACACGCTAAGCAGCCTTTCCCCCTGGCCTCTGGCTCTTCTTTATCTCCTTCTGTCCCTTTCTACTCCCCACCCTTTACCCTGCCCCAGGAGAAATTAAAATTCTAACGTGATTTCTCCTTTTTTGAATTACAGACTCATGAGACTATTGCCCTCCTGAAAACATCCAACTGCCACTCCAGAATGGGACAAGAAAGGTAATAATTGTCATCCCTTCCTACTTGTGCAGACCCTTTTCCCAAGGGTTCACAGCTTCCCACTCAGTACCAACTTGGAGACCATCTCTCAGACTGTTTTTGCCTCAGTATGGGAACTTATGAGGGTGTGGGGGAACTGCAAGGCAGGCAGTTTTCCAGATCAGGGCAGGCCAGAGTTGGGGGTCAATGGCAACATTCAGGAATCCTTTCATGTGCCCACCTTGGAAACACTTCCTCTTATCTTCCATTCAGGTTGCAGGGAATAAGGCAGAAGTGCAGGCCACATGCAAGAGATTTTGAATTATGCATTAAGCTGATAATGCCCCAGCATGCAAGCTATGTCAATAAATAACTAGGCTGGTAGGAGGAAGGCATTCACCTCCCCAGAGCAGGGGGTACCACACATGGAGAGAGCCAGAGGAAGACCAGGGGAAGGGTGAATGGGGCTCATAGCCTTCTGGCTTCCTCTGATGAAGAAAAGCTAAGAGTAAGTTAATATTGAAACTATTGTCTAATGTCTATTTGCTTTTAAAATAAGTTAGCTTCTGTCTCCAGTAAGGTCCCTCTCTGTGCAAGTTTGTGCTGTGGCAGAGTTAGCCCTTTCTTGTACGACACCTTATGTAAAGGAATTATGTCTAGGAGGGAGATTCTTTTGATGGGACCCATTAAAGACTTCTTTAAAAAGTTAAGAGTTTTCATGATGAAATTTGGGGACAGTCTCATAAATGTTAATTGGGCACTCAAATTTTCATTTCATTTTGTGTTTTTAACTGATTAATATGTAGTAGAAAAGCAGAAGTTAAGCCAGGTAAAGAAACAGAAGGATTAAAGGAAGGTTAAAAATGGTATCCCCAGCAGAGGGCCGGAGAGTAGAACTGATGAAAATTGGATCTTTAATCTTTTCATCACTTTTCCTACTTTAGTAAAATACACAGATGAATTTGTTGTGTGTGTGTGTGTGCCTGCAGAGACACACACACACACACACACACACACACACACACACACACACACACACACACACACTTTTAAAACATTGCGTAGGGACTTACACAGGGTTCGGGAATGCTGGTAGGAGGACAACAGCGTGCTTGCCTACGTGCTCTCTCTCCCCCATAGGAAAAGGACGCCATTTGCATCTCATCATTTCCCAAGTTGTAGATACAGTTTGCGGCCTCTGGTTTGTCATTCTGAAAATTTTTCACAGGCGGTGCAGTAAGGAGTACAGGCCCATTCTATCTGCTCACATGCACCAACAGATTAAAGATGAATCTGGAAAAACACCCTCTCCTCCGAGAGTCATATCAAGCAGTGTTTAAATTAAATAATTTGCATGGTGTGGGGGAATAAAGCTTTTGTAGCAGTATGTGGAGGTTATCTTCCCTTGGGAAATTCGTGCCATTTAGTACAATCTGGTGCATGCCAATGAGACACAGGCATGCATCCACTCATGAGAAGATGGATTTTATTTTACATCTAAATGTATTTATTTCTCTGCATCATCTTCCATTTTATATTTGTGTCAAGGGGGAAACAGGAGGCAAACTACTTGTGAAATGTTGAGGTCATTAAGATCCGAGCAGCAGCAAGGCGATGTCTTGAATGATTAGGCAAGAGAAAGGTTGGTGCCTGCTGGCACAGAGCCAGGTACCCAACAGCTCCTCCAGGGAATATGGCTGTCATCACAAGTTCAGCCAATGTTTGATTTTGCTCCCAGATCATTGCCTGGTGAAGAAAGAGGGGCCATTCCTATGATGAGACAATGTGAGTGGGTAAGCCACAAGTAGTTATATTAGTTGATTTGTTTCTATTTGTTCTGTTCTACCAGTATCCAATCTGAACTGGATACTAAGGAGATCATTTTCAGCGAGTAACTCATTCCTCCATAGGCTGATGCAGTCTTACCCTCATCAATGGAGAAAGCACAGCTGGCCACAGGAAGGACTGTGAATGAAATACTAAGGAGAGAGACGTTGGGAGTTATGGGGGAAGGAAAAACAGAAGTCCACTTAAGTACAGAGAAGTTTTAAAGGTCCTGTTTTTGAAAATTGGCATAAGACTAGAGTGAAGTGTTTTCCTTCCATTTCAGGTTAGTTTAATACACCTTAGGCCCCTTTTTTATTCCTTATTTAAAAGAAGTCTTGGGAAAGACTAGGAGGAGATACCAGCACTCCAAATTGCTTCCCATCCCATCGACAGTCATGCTACTTTGGCATATTGCTGCTGCCATAACAAGACACTACAGGCCCAGTGGCATAAGTGACAGACTGATTTAGTCTCACTTCCAGAGTCTATAAATCTGGGGTTATGTGTTGCCAGAGTTAACATCTCCCAAGGCCTCTGCTTTTGCTTTACAGGTAGCTAACTTTTCCCCATGTGTAAATGTCTGCTTTAGATAAGCATGGCCCTCATGCCACCTGAAAAGCCAGCACGAAGCTCCCACTGCCAGTTTTAGAGTGACCTTATCTCTAGCTACAGTCGCCTTCTTCTACTCCAGTACCTGGATGTCCAGTCGTGAACTTGGAGAGTACACCACTCAGTCCACACAACTGTTCTGCAGACTCTTTGGCAGAACAATGATTTTTTTCCCCACTCATTTTTTGCTAGCTTAATTGGAGATTTACTCAACCTTCATTCTCTTCTGCATTTTTATTAGTAGCTGAAAGTATTGTATTCAACTATTGGAGTGTTGTGTTTTATTATCTTAAAAAGTAGGATCTAGAAAGGGGTTGAAGCTTATTTATGAAAACAAATATTACCTGATTTTTTTTCTTTTAGGAAGGAAGTCTTTTCCCCCCACTGTTAGAATACCTGGCAACCTGGTATCGTTTTATCACAGGGGTTATAAAGCAATTATGAGCCAGCTGTGATATATGCCAACTGGCCTAGAATTTGGCCACGTTGTTTTTCTGATATGTACCCATCCCCTGTATATCGTGGATATTAGAACTCCCACGAGTTACTGAGAGTGTTGAAATAGTACATATACATGCTTAACATGGTACCTGGCTCATAGTCATTGCTCAGTAAACATGTATCTAATACTTGTAATAACTAGACATTTTCATTTCATTGTATCATGGTGTTGGACAAAATGCAATGTCTTGCCTGGGTTTCCTTTGCTTACATACTATTTCTTGAGCTAGTGGTATGTTCTTTCTCTGTTGTTTAAGTGGACCTTGGTAGAGACTTGAATTTGCAAGCTGTGGACATTGTACCAATAGACTTTAATATCTTCTTTTGTTTCCTTCAATACAAGTTCTATGCCACAAAGCAGAAGAAAGAGTTAAAAGGACCATGAAGAAAAGTGACTTGGGTCTTCTGATAGTCTTTGTGATTCTTTATGGAGCATCTCAGGCTGTACCACACAGGTGCAAAACTGTCGTTCTGTAGTTTGTAGCTGCAATAGTCAGTAGTGTCTCCCCGTCTCCTGGAGACAGTGTTTCAGCCTCTGAGTCTGGAAGGCCCAGATACACAATTCAGTCTGTGGGCTGGGCTGTCAATTGGAATAGGCAAAAGTCCATTTAAAATGCTTTGCAATGAGTCAAACTCATTTTATGATTTGGCAAAGCATTGCCATTAGCCCTCACAAAGCTGTGTGTACTGTAATCACCACACATCAGCAATACTTTACTCTCAAGTTCCTTGAGACACTCACCTGCTCAGAAATACAATGGTGACCAAAGAAATACAAGTATCATTTCAAATGACATTTCTGAAGCAGCTTTTGATTTCATAAAATCCTATGAAAATCTATACCAAGATCCTGCCCTTGAATTGTGAGAGAAGCTGGAGGGTAGAAATACATTTTAAATCAGATAAAAAAGCAAGGTTCAGGAGGCTCAGGCAAAATGGTAAAGACAGACAGACAACCAATGTTCCATCAGCATTCTTTCCATGGGGATCACCCTGGTGGGATCTGAGTGTCTCATTCTCTGTCCTCCCATAAGCCTCTGAGACATATGCCATCTGCAGGTTGGAGTTGAGCAGTGGAATAAGACTGTTGGAATAAACCCTAGGATCTGGGCTCCACTACAGTCTGTGGCGGTTTACTGTCTGTAGGTGAATGAAAATAAGAATCACCTGGGAGAAATCTTACCTCATCCTCTCTTACACATTTAAAAAAGGAAAAGATAAGCACATGCATGCCCATATTTAAATTCCCCTGGAGAGAGTCTTTAACAAACAATAAAACAATAAAAATAAACTTGAGAGTCATTTTAGTAATTTTCAATCCAGAAAGTCCATTTTAAGGCCATAAGGAATTCTGTGTACATACACTGTAAACAAGGTTAAAGGTAGAGTGGAGAGCTTTCAGACATAAAAAAAAATAAATTGTACAACAGAAAAAAATGAATATAGGATACAAGTGGGTAGTTAATGGGTGGAATGAGAATGGCAAATAAACATGGGAAATGATGGTGAAATTTTTCAATGAGACACCGTACATTATATTGCTAAATTTTGTTATGGAAAATATTTAGAGTCCATGAGCTGTGGAGAAATGGGTCCCCTTTTACATTCGTAGGCAAGAGTAGAATATGGCATAGCCTTTTGGTAGGGCTGTATTTCAGTACATCTTAAAAATTTATAAGCATAGATATCTGAACTATAAATTCCATTTTTAGACATCTACATTACAAAATAATTTGCATGTAAATGGAGATAATGTATAGGGATGACCATATGAATATATATATACATATATATGTATATGTATATATATATTCATACTTGGGAAATACAATATAGTTGGGAATATGAATATATATATATATAGTTAGGAAATACAAGATAAGAACTAAAAACAACTGTGGTTTACTTATAATATAAAATACCTTATATCCATTAGGAATGATAGCTTTGGATAGATTTAGATAAAAAAATCAACAAAATATGAAGTGAAAAACAAATAAAACATTGTGGATAACTGTATAGATGACTTATAGAAAACATGTACACAGATGAATTATAATAGAGACTGTAAAGATGTGCCTACC